TGGGGTGCAGCACATGTATCACACAACAATAATAAAAAATGCAAAAAAGTTTTCACAAATGTTCACAATATGGAAATGATCAAATCAGTTAAAATTGTGTATACAAACTATTCAAACCCTGACAAATACTAAATATATAAACAGAAATAAAAAATGGCTTGTGAATGATTCACGAACCATGAGAGGCCTATTTGTCAAATTGTTTGTTTGCTGAATACTGTTTGGTGAGCTCTAAAAACTAAAAGAGCCTTAGATTGCTTCAAAAACAGGTCATTGTACAAGTCTCAGTGAAAGTAAAAAATAAACAGAATGTTTCCAAAACCAAAAAAGAACCTACAATGGCACCTGAATCATAGTTGATCATCTCCAAATATCTATAAAGAATGTCTCTGAATATATATATTTCCCTGTGCATTTTGTCAGAATGGGTTTGTATTTAAATTACCTTCAAGAAACTAAAATGAAAAACTATAGCTACATTTTGCAGTATCATTACTAATTGTACTAATTGTATTGTCACATCTTTATAAAAATGCCACAAAGTAAAAGAAAATGTTCTTTTAAGTCTAATAGTAGCAATTCTGTGCTTCAGTTAGAATGATGCATAATGTAATAGGAAGGTTAATAAGAAATGATAGCTACCATGATTCACTGGTAGTATTTTTTTTGACCAATATATTCTATAATGGTTACAGTGACCAGAATATAAACAAAAAGCCATTTTCATTTCCAATATACTTTATAATTCTGCATTTGCAATTCGAGTACAAATCCTTAATCCATTTTCATAGGTCTCTGTGCGTGATGCAACAAGATGACACTGACCTCAAGGACCTTTTCCTCTTCATATGAGATACAGGTATAACTGTGTGAATGAAAAATGTAAGTGTTACATTTAAATGGAACTGTCTCTGGCAGAGCATAGAAATGCTATATAGTTACTAGGGCATAACTACATTTTTGCTTCCGTAGCTATGTAATTTATTGTACCCTGGTGCTTGGAGCATGCTTTCCATAATCATTCTATGATCACTGTATAGTTTCATCAGTTGGTTAATAAGAACGACATACAGTCAGAGTGCAGAATTTTCAATAGTTATTGAAATGTCACTTTTTAGTTACCTTGCAACAATATGCAAATCTTTTTGCTCCAGTTGGCTTCCACCCTAACATGCTCCTGTACTTAACATTTTCAAGTTGTTTCACAGATAAAAAGACACCCTCCAAGTTTTTCTCTCCCTTAAAATGAAGCAGAAAAATTCCAAAAGTTATATAAACAATGATGAAAAATTAATAGTCACTGGATAATGAGAGGCTTTGAACCATAAGAAGAAAGTGTTTTAATTTAGTTAGGACAATAGTCATTGGATAGCTCTGTTACACACAGTCCCAGAAAATGGAGCTGTGGGTAATTTTTCATGCAAACCTTTTCTCCCTGAAAAATGTATATTAGCTCAACCAAAAGAAATGGTGACTGTATCAAATTGTTTTGGTTAAAAAACCTCTGAAAAGACACTTTGTAAAAGTCAAAATATCTCATTCTGATTTGAAACATTCAGATTTTTCATTTCAAAATTACATTATATTTAGAAACATGTTAGTTTTTTTTAAAAAATGTTTTTAACATAACAACATGCTTCAATTTGGCTGAAATAAAACATTTCATTCTACCCAAAATGATTTTTTTTTTTTGATGCTGTGGTCCAACCAGTGAACTGAAAAAAAAAAAGATGAATTGTTCATATATCTCTCATTATATTATTTTTTCATTACTTTTTAATCATGTCTTTGGTCTTTGAAGAGATGTTGTATTGTTATTTGGTGGTATTTTTAGAAGAGCTGTGGTGGATGGCAAGGGATCTCTTCCCCCTTCACTATTTATATTTAGATGTAACCAATGGCACTGAATTTGCTAGAAAATGGGCACTGATCTATGGGCTTAGATTTATGGAAACAGGGAAAAAGAATGTGTTGTTTGTGACCATCTCCTTTCTAGGACAGATCTGTATAAACAAATATATACATATATTTAAGTATATCCAGATTCAGAGTCACTGATTTCTCCTTTACTATGAAGCTGATCAGCAAAGCCCTAGACACCAGCTACTGCCTCGCAATGAAAGAACACTGGTGTGAGAACAAAGTGCAGAACTATTTTAAAACTCTAATTTCTGCTGTTAGGCAAGATCCGACACCTTGTAAGCTAAGAAATTTTTTCTCTCTCACCTCAGAGGATGCCGGATCAAGGCCCTGCCTCTTAAAATCCCAGCGGAGTCTATGGACTGAAAACAAAAAGTTAGTATAATTCAGTAATAACTGGCACCCTTGTTAGCAGTCATGGTAGGGGAGCTAAAGATTGAATTAAATGGCACAAAGACCAAGTTACTCAGTTCTTAAAAATCAGTGATAATCCCAGCTGTAAGTCTCACAATTCCCCCTGTCATCTGACATACTCAAGTTACTAGCAAGCAGAAACATAGGATTGCAGGACCCAAGTATCCTGACGATTTGGTCTATAGTCACTGTTCTGCAGAGGGTTATCATATAGGTCTACTGAATTTTATTGATAACCTGTCTGCACACCAATCGGTACTGTACTACAATGAAATAAAGACACTAAATTAATTAAATCAACTTGTCATTCAATATAGCAGTAGAGATATTCATGTACAGTTTTACTGTCACAGGTTAACTATAAATTATATACGCTGCACAACATCATGCAGATTTGGGAGGTCAACTGTGAAGGTGAAATGCACACCTTCTGTTCATGAATGCCAATGCAGCTGAAGCTCTGAAGGCTGTTGCAGCTGTCAAACTGTTGAAAAACAAAAAGGACAGAAAATAGGTTGTATAGATTCTTCCTATGAATGAAGCCAGAACAAGAACTTCATCACTGAAGAAGAAACAACAAGCACAACTCTACCAAGTGAAGTCTTGTAACGTACTGTTAGGTCACTAAGAATTTTCACATGCAACCAATATAAATTTTATATATAGATATGGATATATAAAACACACTCACTTTCTAGAGTTGTGCTTATTGTCATGCCTATATATTCCCGTCTCCTTAAGTAATAATCTGGATTGTAATAATATGGATAATTTTTTTAGTGTTTTTCAAGGTAGATATCTTCCAGATAATTTCCGTCATCAAGTGTTCACAAATTGAATTAAACCCTATGAAAATTATGAAAATTCAAGAAAGATAATATTGTATTTTTTATCTGCTTTCTGATGCAAACATTTAAAGGAGAACCCAGCCATCCCAATTTGTATGTGAACATTTCAGGCTGTAGCATATGGAAATGGCAAAAAAGATAACTAGTAAAATAAATAATGAAACTAAGTAGTGATGACCCTTGATTATTTTGAAATACATATTCTTGGGTCCGTATGCATTCCTTGTACGCATTTTCCTCTCTCAGTCATAGTTGTTTGCTGTATTATTCAAATTACTATTCAGACTTGCTCTGCTTTCCTGACTTTCCAGTAAAAGGCTTCGATAAATTGCCTTCAACTAATATAATTATCCTACCTTCTCTTTTACGTGATTCAGATCTCCTGTGTTTCAACATACACAGAAACAAGACAACTGAATCTGCAGCTGAATTAAAATACTTAAAAATACTAATAAATGAAAACAGAAAATATATCAAAATGTTAGTGCTAAAGAAATATTAAGAAAACCCAACATATGCACATCTTTTCCAAAACATTAAGATGCTCATAGTCACTACTATACTTTTTTAAAAAAATCTGTGAAGATCTATGCAAATGTATCCTTGTTTTAAGATATGTTTATGCAGACTACTAACTGTCACTATACTAAGTGCCAACTGCTAGGCCTAGATACAAGCAGTTTTAACATTTCTCACCATTTCCATAAAAGTGTTCTGGTTTGCATATCCTTATAAGTGAAAACCATCCCAAAGAAAACTTTTACATGTGCTCCAGGGGGCGATGCTTTAATTAGAGCAGCTCCAAAAATGAAAGTGCCGCCACATCTCGTGTATCAGCATCCCTGCATTTAAAAAAGGCGGCAGGGGCACTTAAACTAAAGCTCATTCAACAAGCCATTTTTAAGTGTGGGGAAACTGATACATGAGATGCAGGAGGCTGCTGAAGTGCAGCAGTTGCCATACTCCAGCAGATTCAATTCATATAGTCTGCTCTGATGCCCTGGAATTCCTGCGCATTGGAGCAACCTCCCTATCTGTGTATAGGCACCCAAGGCTACTAAATCAAAGGTGACTTTGCTTCAGTCTTCACAAAAAAATTTAAGCTTCGCCCAGACACTTAATAAGGCTTATCTGAATAAAGAAGGGGTCAAGCTGAGGGAGGAGATAACAAAAGAGATGGTCAGAGAGCTTCCATTGGGTCTGAATGAATTCAAGTTAGCAGGGCCAGATGAACTTCATTCCAAATCATGACAAACAAACCTAATCTCCTTCTTTGACAAAGTAACTACCTGGGTAGATGGAATGCTGTGGATATAGTGTATCTGGACTTCACAAAGGCATTTGACAAGGTCCAACATGACCTTTTCCTAAACAAATTGGAGAAATGTGGGCTAGATAAAACTACTGTAAGGTAGACAGATAACTGGCTCAACGGCTTCTTGCAAAGGGTAATTATTAATGGATCCATGTCAGAATGGCAGGAGGTTTTGAGTGGCATCCCACGGGGGTCTGTCCTGGGTCTAATACTATTCAATATGTTTATTAACAAATTGGATGCTTGCATGGAAACCTTTACAAACAAGTCTGCCGATGACATGAAACTGGAAAGGATAGAGAATATGTTGGAGGATGTGAGCAAAATTTTTAAAAATCTTGACAGATTGGAAAGTTGGGCTAAAGCTAACAGGATGAAGTTTAATGTGGATAAATGCAAGGTACTATACCTTGGGAGAAATAGCCAAAAACACAAATATAAAATGGCTGGATGGCAGCACTATGGAAAAGGACTTGTGAGTCTTGGTAGATCACAGACTCAATAAGAGTGTGCAGTGTGATGCAGACACACAAAAGGCAAATGCTGTTTTGGGATACATCAATAGAAGCTTTAGGTACAAGACACAGACAGTGATAGTACCTCTCTGCTCAGCACTGTTAAGCCTCATCTAGAGTACTGCATGCAGTTTTGGGCTCCACATTTTTAAAAGGACATAGAGAAGTTAGAGAGGGTCCAGATGTGGGCAACAAAGATGATCAAGGGCTTGGAAGGCAAGTTATACAAGGACAGGCTGAAGGAGCTAAGCATATTCAGCTTGCATAAAAGATACTTAAGAGGGGACATGATAGCAGTCTTCAAATACTCGAAGGGCTGCCATAAAGAAGAAAAGCACCTTTTCTCTTGCTGCACAACACAGACCAATGACTTCAAGTTGCAGAAAAGTAAGTTTAGATTGGATATCCAAAAAAACTTCTTCACTGCTAGAACAGTGAGGCACTGGAATAGACTACCTAAGGAAGAGTCTCTATCACTGGATGTGTTCAGGAAAAGTTTGGACAGCCACTGGTTAGGGTGGCCTAGGCATAGATATGCCTATGTTTTACCATGTGTATTTCCCATGCTTCTGGCCCTTGCTGGTTGCACCTTCCCCTCTTCCCCCGCCTTTTTTTATACATGTCATGGTGTTTTTAAGCCTTCCCAGAGGCATTGAGTGTTGACTACAGCCAAGGCTGGGGACTTTGACTAGGATGTACCAGTGCTCCAGCTGGCACCAAAGCTGGAGGTTCCTGCCTAGATGGTTTTGCCACTCCACTCAGAGTTGAAACGATTAACCCACAGTCATATTGGTATGGACTGTGGAGCTTTTCACCTTCCTCTGTAGTGGGGGGCATGGCCCTCTACCTGGGACCTCTTGAGCATATATTGACAACATTTCATAGAAACAGGACATTGGCTGCCGGGGTTCCCCTGCTTTCCCTGTGGCAGGTTAGAGTATTAAGTCTATATTGTGTCAGGGTGGACAGTAGTTTTATATAGAGTTCAGATTATGATTAGTATGGGATGGCTTGGGTAGGTATGATCCTGCCTTGGGCAGGGAGTTGAACTAGATCAGTGTTTTCCAACCAGTGTGCTGTGGCACAAAGTGTGCCATCAGAAATGAACAGGTGTGCTGCAGAATTTTGCCATGGCAATGAGCTACAATAGGTATGAGAATAGGGAATGCCTTAACAGGTGTGCTGTGGAAAATTTTTACTAATGCAAGTGTGGCTTGGGCTGGAAAAGGTTGGGAAACACAAAACTAGATGACCTCTAAAATTATGGGTTTAGGTGGGTCTATTTATTACCTTTTTAACACTTATAAATTAACAGTTTTTACTGGTATCTTCTGATACAATATGCCACATACTTGATTTAATTTATAGATACATATCTAATGAGAAATATTTAGATTATATTGTGTGTTTGACATATTTCATTCATATTAAAGCATTTGATATCATTATTGCATATCATTTTATAGAAAGAAACCTCTTATCATTGGTAAAAGGTCAAGTTTTCCCACTCTTACCACCTATTCCTGAAAAAGTGAACCAGCTTTCTAAAGTAAGGATATGCTCTGCAACTTGGATCCCTTACCATAGAAAAGGTATTTAGTTTCATTTACCCTTTGCCATTAATGAAAGTGTTATCCCCCTCTCCCTCACAAAGAAAAAGTATCCACAGGACAAAAATGTATGAGATGTTAGAAGGATCACATGGGGCAAATAATTATTTGTATGACTACATGTGGCAGCGCGCCCTCTAGGAGTGCCGTGACCTCCCCTAGCGCCCCCTGGCTACCGTGTCAAGCCGGTGTCAACGCACCCTCACCAATCTCGCCCGCCACGTCTTTGATGTTTAAATGTTTCAGGGAGGCTGCCTTTTCTATCTACCTTGATGTCCAGTTGCCCCGGTGCACTCTAGCATTAGGGGCTACCCATAAGTCCTACTATCGCCCTCTCCTGGGGCTTCCCCCCTACAGGCCCCAGTGGGTCACAGTCTATCTCCCTGCGCTTCTCACGCTCCTCACCCACACTGGGCCCTTGCTCGCACTTCTCGCCCGCACCGGGGCCCTTGCTCGTGCTTCTCGCGCTCCTCGCCCGCACTGGGGCCCTTGCTCGCGCTTCTCGTAATCGGGGCTCAGGCGGCCTCGGCCTTACCTGGCCCCAGACCCCTTCTAGGGTCCTACGCCCACTGGGCTTCTCACGATTGGGGCTCAGGCAGCCTCGGCCTTACCTGGCCCCCAGACCCGCCTCCTCGGGCCTATGTCCCACTAGGGCTTCTGCCTATGCACAACACTGAGCTCTTCCTGAAGCTGCCCACACTGGGCCAGGGTCGGGACACCCTAAAATGCAGCACCTCCTGCGGCACTAGGAACACCCCCACCTTACTGGGGGGGTCTCCTAATGAGGCCTCCTCAACCCCTACAGCCTCGCCTGGTCCTCCGGTTCGTAATTACAACTATCAACTCCAAACAGAAACTCAAAGCCCCTTGGCTACAATGTAAATCTTAGGCCAACCTGGCTAATCTTCTCTCATCCCTGTCAGGGTCCTCTCCACCCTGTATCCGCATGCCAACGCACAACCCTGCCCTGCTCGCTGTAGCAGAGCTCCTGCTCCTTAGGCTGCCAAAGGGGAACTGACTCTGGCCTCGGCCTTCTGTTTATGTAGGCCAGGCACTGCCCCCTTCTGGTCAGCTGACCCAATCAGTTGCCTTGGCAACCCACCTGTGCTGCCCCTGTGAGTGGCAGCTGAGCCTATATTCCTGTTTTCAGTAGCAGGCACCCTAGTGCCCTGCTACACTACAACTCTTAGAATGGTTGTCATTCTTTTTTTTTTTTAAAACTCCCTTTTCAAATAGCTTTTTTTCCATTTTTTCTGCCATGAAACATACAAAAAAAGGGCATGTCCAAGGTTAAAAAATCTGACAACATTTGAGTGTTCACTGAAGATGAGAACTATTATGGCTCATATGAAAGAAAGGATGATAGGTCAGATTAAAAATTGATCTGCCTTCATACAGCACTTGAAAGAGAGAGAGTGCTTGAGCTAAAATTGCTCTGCATTAAAAAAACAGCATTAAAAATCTGCTACTGAAAAATAACTATTTTAAATACAGAAAAATTAGTGGCAAAAAAAGTAACTGGAATCTGATCAGCTGGTTAATGGTTTCCTCCATTTTACACCATTTGGTATAAGTAAAAAAAAAATACAGCCTTAATAAAAAGCCTTCCAATGGACCTCAAAGATTTCAATACCTATTTCAATACCTAATTTAAATATTTCAATCCATTCTGAGCTGTGTACTTGTCCAGTACAACTCTTTACACTTGATTAATTAAGGTGCTGAAACAGTAATTAATTATGGTGTCTATGACACAATTCTTTGTTTGTTAGATAGTTGAATAGAGGAAACTTTTCAAGATAGAAATTTCATAAACAAGCTCTTCTCTATCTTCCTAGCATAAGATCCTTAAAATTGGAACCAGAGAGGGACAAGTTGTCACTTACTTGTCCAGATTATGCTGTTTGTAAAAGTAGTGGAATGCATCCTTTCAGTATGAAGGATGCATATCTGAGGAATTTCAGTTCCTGCCAATTGTATTTCTTTTAAACTAAAAGGAGCCTGAAGTTTGTTTTAGTTAGATGGAGAAATTAATGATGGAGCCAGGTATTAGAGTGGTGATGGGGGGAGAACCTGAAACATTTTAAGACTGAACTGGATACATTTATTGGAGGGATGGTTTAGGACAGGGAATTTAAGTATGTAAGTTTATAGAATCAGGTATTTGAAATTGCCATGCTGGGGTATAGAGTAACTCTATCCTATGCTTCAGGGATTTTGCTGATCACTAGAGGAGGGGATGCCTTTCTCTGAAACAATGGCACACTGTTAAGGCTGGAATCATCTGACCAGAGTGTGATGATGCTCCAGTCAGCACTTAAAAAATACCAATCAACAAATTTGGGATCAGAAAAGAATCTTTCCCCTAGATTACACTGGCAAAGACTGTAGGTTTGGGTGGGGAAGGGGGAGGTTGTTTCCTCTATAGCACAGGCATTATCCTTTCTCTAACATCTTCAGAACATGTAGTAAATAATTACTTCCTTATCAGTGCAGTGTCAGAGAAATTGCAGTGCCCTCATCTTCCCTGCTTTTACCCACTGCATGCTATACGGCAGTGGTTCTCAACCTGCTTAGACTCAAGGCATCCATTAGTAAACTAAAGACACCCATTGGAAAATGCCAGCTTTTTCTTTCACTCATTTTTTGACTAAGGAAAAATAATAAAGCACTTATGTTGCAAAGAACTCAGAAAGATCACAACAGGTCAGAATGTTTTTGACACTATGGATTCCTATTTGAAATCTCTGGGTTTATCTTGTGAAGTACATATAGGTATTTGTATACCACAGTGCTAATATTGCCTGGTACCATGGCATCACAGTCAAGAAAAACTGCTATAATATATTCTCGGAGTGGCAGATATTCTGCCTTGTACCTGTGTGAGAGGGTTTGAAGTAATGATTTTGGAGGTTCCTTGGATAAATGTCATCAACAGGGTCCTACTGAAATCACAGCAGAAGTGGATTGTGCTGCAGCTTCTTTAATCTTGCAGGGTCCACCCCCCTCTCCCCTCACAGCTGATTGGTAGAGGGGCTCCACTTGCAGCTCACTCCTGATCAATAGGAAGGCCAAAACCATGGTTTTAAACATGGTGCCCTTTTTGCCTCCTGCTCCTGGTTGGCTGAGGATCTCCAGTATCCCACTGCTTGCTGCTGACTGGCAGCACAGTTTGAGGAGTAGGTGAGCAGCCATCAATGGCAAAAGAACAGGTTAGGGACTGTTTAGAAAAGCTGGACATGTACAAGACCATAGAGCTGAATATGATGAACTCAAGGCAGGGCTGGCCAATGTGATTGCAGAGACACTGCCCATTGATAGGCTGAAGACTAGGGCTAGGATTCAGAGAGACCTCAACAAATTGGAGGACAAGACCAGTAGAAATCTCATGAGGTTCAACAAAAATAGGTGCAAAGTCCTGCATTTAGGATGGAACAATCCCATGCACCATGTACAGGCTGGGGACTGACTGGATACACAGCAGCTCCA